GGTGAAAGGCTATACAGAATAGCAGTTAATAATACTGATTTGAATCTGGACTGCCTGGGTTTAAAGCTCAGTTTTGGTACTTTGTTCATTTGAGCAAATTATTTATCCTTTCTTTGCTTTATTTCCCCTTGCGTAAAATGTAGTTGATAATATTTACCTCATAAGGTAGTTTTGTGAGGATTAAATCAATGTATGTGAAGTGCTTTGAATAGAGCCTTGTACCAGCCAACAGGTTCTGTGTTAAATCAGTATTGGTGGCACCCGTTGCTCAGGGCTAGGGCACTGGCCACATACACCAAGGCTGGAGGGTTCCGACTTGGCCCGGGCCAGCTAAAACAATGACAACTGCAACAAAAAAAGCAGCTGTGCATTATGGCAGGCACCTGTAGTCCCAGCTACTTGGGAGACTGAGGCAAAAGAATTGCTTAAGTCCAAGAGTTTGAGGTTGCTATGAGCTGTGACACCATGGCACTCTACCCAGGGTTGAGTTAAAAAAAAAAAAAAAAACTTAGTATCATTGTTTATTTTGGCAGTTGCTGGAATTCTTTATGGTTTAAATGTGAGTCTTAAACAAAATCCCTGGGTTTAAGCTTGGGTACTTAAAAAAGTTTTTTTTTGAGTGTTGGTATAGGCTGGGCTCAGTGGCTCATGCCTGTAATCCTAGCACTCTGGGAGGCCTAGGCGGGTGGATGGTTTGAGCTCACAAGTTTGAGACCAGTTTGAGCAAAAGTGAGACCCTGTCTCTACTAAAAGTAGAAAAACTGAGGCAAGGCTCGATGCCTGTGGCTCAAGCGGCTAAGGCGCCAGCCATATACACCTGAGCTGGCGGGTTCGAATCCAGCCGGGGCCTGCCAAACAACAATGACAGCTTCAACCAAAATAGCCAGGCGTGTGGCAGGCGCCTGTAGTCCCAGCTACCTGGTAGGCAGAGACAGGAGACTTGCTTGAGCCCAGGAGTTGGAGGTTGCCGTGAGCTGTGTTGCTACAGCACTCTACCCAGGGCGACAGCTTGAGACTCTCTCAAAAAAAAAAAAAAAAAAAGTGTTAGTATAGTTAAGCCTTAAATTTCTATTCTTTTTTGATAGCTAAAGTTTCAGGCAGAAGAAATTGAGTATTGGGCTTGTGAATATTACATTAAATCTGAAGTACATTGTTAATATGTAATATTAACAGGGTTGATGTATAGAGATGCTATTAGATACTCATAATGTATCCTATTCACTGTATCTTTCCCTTCCCAGTGACTTTACTATCATTTTCTATTTGTTCTTTAGAAAAGTATGAACATTGTTATGAATCTTTTCTCTTTCTCTGTGTACAGATTGTGTGCTTCTCTAGTCTACAGTGGTCACTGCTTTAAGCACAGAAAGAAAATTTAGGTCTTTGACAATTTGATGTTAGTTCCCCATGTTTTTCATCTTGGCAGCTGGGCACTCTTTTGATAAGTTCTGTAGAGGAAATTAGCACACGTGAGAATACATCTGCTTGTTCCATGGCTGACTCTTTCTGATTGGTGACATGCATTTGAGTGTTTGCAGTAGATATTTTGTGCTAACGGATATCTTAGTACCTTCTGCTATTGTTTCTCAAGAATATTCAGAGTCCTTTAGAAAATGAAGAATGTTTTATGTATCAGGTATTTACTGAGTTTAATTAAAAAGTCCACTGGAAAGGAATTAAGTAACAAAATTATTTACATTGTTAATAGGATATGTACAAATATGCTGTTTCTTTAAAGTGCTTTTATTTCTTCAAAGAGTTACTAAGCAGACAAGACATTTTGTGGTAAGTTTAAGCAGTTTAGAGGGGTTAGTTTTAATTCATATTGGTCAAAGCTGTGATATTAGGATAGAAAATGAGTCTAAGGTGGCACTGAGGTTTCTAGTAGCTTTTGTTTCTTCCTGATCATTTTCTAAATCTCAAAGCAAGGATCAGCTTATACCATTGTAACATTTCATAGTGAACTTAGAATATTTAATAAATCTAAAATCAAAGTTTATATATAATAAACATTTTAGGACATTCGTTCCAGTGACAAGGAATCTAACTCATTTTATCTAAATTTGTTGTGTTTTTACAGTTACATTTTCTATTGCTCTAATTTTTTTGACCTTTGATACCTTGATTCAGTGATGATACCATTTTCCTATTGTTATATGTGTATACTTTCTGCTCAGAATTATCATAGGTTTTGTATTGTTTGTCTTCCCTTTTTTCCTCATCTGAATAAATCACGTCTTTTTCTTGCTGTTTCATCTATACAGCATCACTTCTAGAGATGAGCTTCTTTATCCTATAAGGCAGTGGAAGAAGCATGGAAGACACTTGTGGAGTATTGCATCGACAAGTGTATTTTTGTTGTCACATGGTGGCAGTATCAGGGAAATTATAGGATGGGTTAAGATGAGATTTCAGCAGCCTATAAATCCCATGACTGCCCATGGGTCATGAGAGCTTCAGGCCTATGCTACAAGTGATACTTGTTCAGGAGTAAAGTGATGAGTATTTTATAACTTTAATGGTATGTACAGTTCTTAAACATGTACTGATTGCTAACAACTGCTATCTTTTCCTCAGCCTACCCGACTACCTGTCTTTGTGCATAAGCATAATTTTGTACCCAGCTATTTGTACTTATTTATGCTTTTACACCTTCTTCCTTTTATAAAGATTTTAGCTGGTTTATGACTTGAGTTGAAACAAGGAAAAAAAGAGGAGACCTGAAACGGTCTATCCCCTGCCTACCAGAAGCTTCCTGTGGTATCCAAACAGAATAGTTGCCTCAGTCTATCAGCACTTCTGTCTTTGACGGTGGTTTCTACTTAAAAAGTGGTGACTATTAGCATAGCCTTGGGATGATTGCTTTTCCTTCTCTTAGGGTACATTTTGCAGATACTTTCTTGTTCTTGTTGACTTTGATTTTCCAGAAGATTCAGCCTGTGGTTAAAATGTTTCGGATCCCATATGAACTTTCTAGGGGATTACCCAATTCTGGGGGCACCCTTGGCAGATCACCATACTAAAGAGGGCAAAGGTTCTTGGTTAATAGAAAATGCCACTTTGAAATGATTCTCAAAGTCTAGGAACATCCAGACTTTCCTTCAATACTTTTTCCCTATTTAGGCTTGCAACTTTGCCTAGTGTAGAGGAGGGAGGGCCTACCTGGGAGGGTTGTGTTTAAGGGGTTCAGAAACAGGGGATTTAAGTGTGTCTTTTGTGTTTGCAAGACACTAACACCACTCCCGTCTGTATTTAAATGCTGTCCCCAGGTTACGACTATGGCTATGTCTGCGTGGAGTTTTCACTCTTGGAAGATGCCATCGGATGCATGGAGGCCAACCAGGTTGCTTTATACTTCGGTCAAATGATACTGGAAGGATATATTTATTTATGTATGGGGAGGGAGGGTTTCAAATGATTTCACTTTGGAAAGGTACAAGAAATCTACCTTTGGTACCACGCTCCAACCAATAAGCAGTAGTGAGGGAAAACTTTTAAAAGATTGGGAAACTTTCCCTAAAGGAGTTAATGGACACAGAGTGTATTTTAAAAGCTGGAACCCAATTGCATTTGGATTAAATTCCAAAGGATATAGTAAAGAAAGACAGGTCTAGAGTGTTTCTTTTGGATTTTGACTGAGATGGGGAATCCTGATGCAGTGAATGATCCTTGATTGTCTGTGATCCCAGGGATCTGCTTGGCACAGGAATTCTAGGTCATAGTTACATCCAGACCTAGGGTGAAGACCACCAATGGCAACAACTGTGGCACTCAGGTCCTGATTGCATAGGCTTCTTTTGAAAGAGGGCTATTAGGGAGGACAGCGGAGTCAATTGTTTGTATCTGTTGCATTCATCATTGTTCTTTGCCAGTTTGAATTGAAATCTCAATTTCTTGGCTGCATATAGTCAGAGCTGGTGACTCTGAATCTTACCTTATATTTGAACCATCTGGAGTTCTTCAGTTTGCCACCTAGAATTGTCATGTTCTTTAATTGAAGCCTGCCTGGTAGTCTGGGGAGAATTTACTAAATTGGTAGACTCTTTGATGTCATGGTGTTTCCTTGGGAGAAGTAGTTTTCTTTCAGTTGTCTTAGTTCTTCCATCTGAAAAATGGGAAAAAGAAGTTTAGGGAAATAGTTTGATTTTTATGTACCCACTTCCTATACTTAATAGTGTGAAATGCAGTGAGCCTAGAATCTTACATGAAGGCTCTGCCAGAGAAAAGTAGTTAATACATGAGAACTCTTCTTCTTTTGTAGCCCTTTTATTACAGCTGTTTTCTACTCAGCATGGCTCATTACACTTAATGTTTCCCTTCTTTGGCCATTCTCTCTCCCCTTAGGTTTTGGAGAGGACATAGGTGCTTTGGGAGCAAGCACTAATTAGAGAAAACTTTTTTTTCTTTGAGACAGTGTCTCACTCTGTTGCCCAGGCTAGTGTGCTGTGGTATCAGCCTAGCTCACAGCAACCTCAAACTCTTGGGATCACTCAAGTGATCTTCCTACCTCTGTTTCCCGAGTAGCTGGGACTACAGGTGCCTACCATACCACCTGGTTAATTTTTTTTTTTCTTTCTTTCTTTCTTTATTTTTGAGTCAGAGTCTCACTTTGTTGCCCTTGGTAGAGTGCTGTAGCATCATAGCTCACAGCAACCTCAAATTCTTGGTCTTAAGTGATTCTCTTGCCTCAGCTTCCCATGTAGCTGGGACTACAGGTGTCCACCACAACGCCTGGCTAGAAGCAGTAGTGTTTTGATAGGTGGACTGTCCTTATGCATAGGGTACCACGTATTGCTGTGTTCAGGAATACAATTAAGAGATAGCTTGTATCTTCCAGGACCTTATAATCTCACACTAAGAACCGAGAGAGCTAGACACAATGGCATATGCCTATAGTTCAGCTACTCAGGAGGCCAAGGTAGGAGAATTACTTCAGTCCAGGAGTTCTGAGCTATTGTGTGCTATGCTGATTAGGTGTCTGCCCTAAGTTTGGCATCAGTATGGTCTCTCTAGGAGCAGGGGACCACCAGGTTGCCTAAGGAGGGTTCAACTGGTGGTACAGGCCAGAAATGGAGCAGATCAGAACTCCTGTGCTGATCAGTAGTGGGATCATACCTGTGAATAGCCACTGCATTCCAGCCTGGGCAATGTAGCAAGAAAGAAAAACAGATTTTTATTCTTATTCTAGTCCTAAGTGCTGATACTGCCACACAACAGAATCTTCTTGTGCCGAACCACATAAACTTCATGATCAGATCAGCATTCTTTACCACAATTCAGGGTGTATGCAAATAATTTTGGTGGGAAAAATTTTGAGAATCAGATTGTCAGAGAAATTTTGTACTTAGGTACTATAACATAAAAAAGATAAGTTCAGATTTTGGAGTCAGAGGTTATTTCCTAGCTGGGTTTCCACTGGTAAGTTTTTTAGCCTTCCTCAGCCTCAGTTCCCTCCTTTCCCAGTATCTCATCAAGCCCTCCTATGGATTAAATAGGTTCATTGAGGAGTACCAGCTGTATGCCAGAGGCAGGTATGCATCTTTTTCTTTTGGAGGGGGGGGGGGTTGTTCCATTACCCATGCCAATGCCAGGCACCTTCATGCTGAGGATGCTGCAGTGAATAAGACAGACTATGTAAGATTATTTTAATGGGAAAAGACAGAGCATAACAGATAGACAAAAGTAATACAGTACCTGACAGTCCTAAGCACAGAAAGAAAATGAAGCAGGGTATTGAGAGAATGAGTGATAGGGGCAATTTTAGATAGGGTGGTCACAATTTTCTTGAGGATTGACATTGCATTTGAGTAGTGACTCTTGGTGAATAATGTCTGCAGAACATTTAGCATAGTATTAGGCACTTGATAAGCATTTGAAATTAGGTGATTATGTCCTTCCTTCTCTCCCTTCTCCCCATGTCAAGTGATTTCCATTCATAATTTTAGGATTATGTAATCAACCTTTATTTTAGGAAAGTAAGTTTATTTTTATAACTAAAATGTATTAAAACTAAATCTTTAAGGAAGGGATATGGATTAAGCTCTTTATAACACATTAGTTAAGAATCTTAGGAAAAGTTCGGCGCCATAGCACAGTGGCTATGGTGCTAGCCACATATACTGAGGCTGGTGGGCTTGAACCCAGGACAGCTAAACAACAATGACAACTACAACAACAACAAAAAATAGCTAGGTGTTGTGGCAGGTTCCTGGAGTCCCAGCTACTTGAGAGGCTGCGGCAAGAGAATTGTTTAAGCCCAAGAGTTTGAGGTTGCTGTGAGCTGTGACACCACAGCATTCTACTAAGGGGGACAAAGTGAGAGACTCTGTCTCAAAAAAAAAAAAAAAAAGAAAGAAAGAAAAGAAAAAAGAAATAAGGTAGATGTGGCTTCTGGAGTCCCAGCTACTTGAGAGGCTGCGGCAAGAGAATTGTTTAAGCCCAAGAGTTTGAGGTTGCTGTGAGCTGTGATGCCACAGCATTCTACTAAGGGGGACATAGGGAGACTCTGTCTCAAAAAAAAAAAAAAAGGTTTAGGGAAT